AGCGGTATTTCAGGTCTTAGTCCCTGTGGTACCAATTTATGGTCCAGATATTGTTTAAGGCTAATTAACTCCCAATAACCTTTAATTTGTTGTTGGTACAACTTTTGAATTGTAAAAAATACTTCACTAATGTCGTTACTAGGTGGCAGATTAAGAGGATTTAATGAAAAAACATTATTAATGTCCGTAGGTCCAGGATCAGGATTTATTACACCAGATAGAAAAGTAGACATATTCTGTAGGGGGCTGTGAAATGAGGTACTGAAACCTAGTGTAAAATTGATAGGGAATAAACAAAAAAAGAAACAAATGCCATTCTACCTGTGTATGATTTACTGAGAAAATTGTAGATTAAAAAGTAACTTTTAATAAATAAATCTAAAATAAGAATATAAAAAAGAAAAATAAAATAGAAAAATAATATGAACAGCAGGAGTAAATGGAGACTATACAGCGAGTAAAACTCTGTGACTACTTATATATGCTGTAAAAGTGTATACATAATAACACTAATGCTGAAGCAATACTGTTTAGCTACAATATAACATCAGTGTATTCCCAAGTAATAGAAGTGATACTATATTATATATCACTAATAGCTGTAGCAAAAAGGGGGGGGGAGGGGGGAGATAAGACAACTGCTAAACCAGTGCTGTCAATAGTTCAGCTAAGACAGATTTCTGACATGGCGATTAGCCAGTTAAATATCACAAAAGCTGCCTAGATCATAGCAGCATTTTGATAATAAATTAAAGCTTGCTGTCAGGCAGTAAAGTGTAAAATAAGGGGTTGCTGACCTGGCTCCGTTTTGTCCTGCAAGATACCTAGCAGTATATTCTAGTGTAACAACAGCTGCCTGCACTGAATGATGTTAACTTATGCTTGACCACAGTGGAGCACAAAGTAGTAGCTCACCTGTGAAAGACTGCTGACAGGCAGCAGTTAAGTGGTTAAAAATCACACAAGTTGCCTAAATACTAGCTGCATCTAAATAATAGGTCAAAGTATAAAGAGAGGGTTTACAAACAGTTTTGAACAGGTTGCCTAGGTAGTAGAAAATATACAGACAGTGACAGAGGAAGGCATATAGAATAAAGATTCCTGAGTCTTGTGCCTTCAAGGGCACCCCTTAATAAAATGCCTGGTCTTATCAATCTCCCCCCATACACATAATAAAGGAAAAAAGAAAGAGAAATAAAGTATGTACAGAGTACACAAAATTAGTGTTAAGAGTCTCCAATATGCACTCCTGAAATGCTGGACATAAATGAACTTGATGTCGGTAATTTAGCAATAGATAAGCAGAGAGTTAGATGCCGACACCAATAATGTGTCAGTAAGTGTCCAGAGCCCCTGACGTGCACGTTTCGCCAGTGAAGCTCATCTGATGAGCTTCACTGGCGAAACGTGCACGTCAGGGGCTCTGGACACTTACTGACACATTATTGGTGTCGGCATCTAACTCTCTGCTTATCTATTGCTAAATTACCGACATCAAGTTCATTTATGTCCAGCATTTCAGGAGTGCATATTGGAGACTCTTAACACTAATTTTGTGTACTCTGTACATACTTTATTTCTCTTTCTTTTTCCTTTATTATGTGTATGGGGGGAGATTGATAAGACCAGGCATTTTATTAAGGGGTGCCCTCGAAGGCACAAGACTCAGGAATCTTTATTCTATATGCCTTCCTCTGTCACTGTCTGTATATTTTCTACTACCTAGGCAACCTGTTCAAAACTGTTTGTAAACCCTCTCTTTATACTTTGACCTATTATTTAGATGCAGCTAGCATTTAGGCAACTTGTGTGATTTTTAACCAGTTAACTGCTGCCTGTCAGCAGTCCTTCACAGGTGAGCTACTACTTTGTGCTCCACTGTGGTCAAGCATAAGTTAACATCATTCAGTGCAGACAGCTGTTGTTACACTAGAATATACTGCTAGGTATCTTGCAGGAAAAAACGGAGCCAGGTCAGCAACCCCTTATTTTACACTTTACTGCCTGACAGCAAGCTTTAATTTATTATCAAAATGCTGCTATGATCTAGGCAGCTTTTGTGATATTTAACTGGCTAATCGCCATGTCAGAAATCTGTCTTAGCTGAACTATTGACAGCACTGGTTTAGCAGTTGTCTTATCTCCCCCCTCCCCCCCCCTTTTTGCTACAGCTATTAGTGATATATAATATAGTATCACTTCTATTACTTGGGAATACACTGATGTTATATTGTAGCTAAACAGTATTGCTTCAGCATTAGTGTTATTATGTATACACTTTTACAGCTTATATAAGTAGTCACAGAGTTTTACTCGCTGTATAGTCTCCATTTACTCCTGCTGTTCATATTATTTTTCTATTTTATTTTTCTTTTTTATATTCTTATTTTAGATTTATTTATTAAAAGTTACTTTTTAATCTACAATTTTCTCAGTAAATCATACACAGGTAGAATGGCATTTGTTTCTTTTTTTGTTTATTCCCTATGATATTCACCATTTAGGGGTTATCCCCCTTTTTTGTGCCCTCTACCTTGTGATATCTAAATTTTGGCCCTAGGTTAATTCTTTTTGTTTTCCTCGTATAATAACTAGTGTAAAATTGAAAACTATTCTAATACAGCCAAGGTACACTAAATACAGGGGGATAACCCCTAGTAGAAATGAAATAATGAACAAAAGAATAGTGTACCTATAGATTAGGAGAAAATAGCATGTGCCTAAACTTCTAAATAGAAAATTGAAGATATAAGGCACACGAAAAAGATCACAAGTTCCACAAAAACAAAAAAGATTTTATTAGATATCTATAATATCAAAGGGAAAAATAGTACTAATGGATACAACAAGAATGCTATAAAGCTAAAAACAAAAAAAGAGATACAAACTAATTATATAGAATCAGTTCTGATGTCTTGAGTAATATACGCACAATCAGCCACAGCACACGTCTGTGCTATTTGGGAAAAATATATGGGTGCAATGGTAGATTAGCAGAGGAATGATAGAATATGATATATACTAGGACATAATAGAGCCTACATAGCCTATCAGTAATCTTAATGATTAAAGTAAAGGAAGTGGTGATAGGGTTGCCACCTGGCTGGTATTTTATGGTATTTGAGGCTGCCTGGCCAGTGCCAGTATTGCAGTAAAACCGGCAATACAAATGCCGGCATATTTCTATGTATAAACAGAGAATACTCTGCAATACCTACGCCGACCAGTAGGGGTCACTGTGTGTGGAGAGAGGCAGGGATAGGAAGTTACAGCATATCCCTGCCTTTCTCTACTCACGATCCGCGGGGGAGCAGCTACACAGCACAGAGAGTCCAGACAGCCACTTCCAGCCTACAGCTCAGGGAAGTAAGGGATAGGGCAAAGGCTGTAGGGAGACATGGGGACACTGGGAGACCCTAGGGGACACTGGGTGACCTGGGAACACTGAGACACTGAGAGACCTGGGGACACTGGAAGATCAGGGAACACTGAAACACTAGGGGACGCTGTGAGACACTAGGCACTTGGGGACACTGGGAGACATGAGAACACTGAGACACTGTGTCCCTAGCGTCTGTGTCCCCATGTCTCCCAATGTCCCCTATCTCTCAGTGTCCCTAGTGTTTCAGTGTCCGCATGTCTCCCAGTGTCCGCATGTCTCAGTATCTCCCAGTGTCCCCTAGTGTCCCAATGTCTCACAGTGTTCCCATGTCTCTTAAGTGTCCCCTAGTGTCCAAGTGACACTGGGCAACATGGGGACACGAGGGGACACTGGGAGACATGGGGCACTGAGACACATGGGGCGGGGCACTGATACATTGGGACACTGTGAGATAGAAAACACTGAGACATGGGGACATGAGGGGACACATGGGGCACTGAAACACTGTGATGCATAGGGGACACAGACACTAGGGGATACTGGGAGACATGAGAACACTGGGAGACTAGGGGACACTAAGACACTGGGAGACAGGGAGACACTGGTAATAATCCATATTTTATTCAGCAGAAAAAATGTGAGTAGGTTTTGGTGATTTTACAGAATTTTCTCTTAGGTCACTCCTTGTGATTTACACACATACACAGTGGTGTGTCCTGGTTTTGTGCCTCCCTAGGCAGGAGAAAACTTAGGCGCCCCTGCCACCCCGCCCTTCCCCCTCCCCATTCAAAAAACACACAATCACACATTCACTGACAGATACACATACACACTTACTAACAGACACACACACTAACAGACACACACACACTTACAGACAAACACACACACACTAACAGACACACACTCACACTAACAGACACACACTCACTCACTGACACACACACACTAACAGACACACACTAACAGACAAACACACTAACACAGACACACACTAACAGACAAACACACACACTAACAGACATACACACACTAACAAACACTCACTAACAGACACACACAGACACACACACTAACAGACACACACACTCACTCACATTAACACACTCACTTTTTTTATTTTTATTTAACCCCTCCAGCCTCCTTACCTTTGGGAATGCTGGGGGGCAGGGTTCTCCCTCTCCCTGGGGTCTAGTGGGGCTGCTGGGTGGTTGGTTGGGCAGCGCTGGCGAGGGAGCACTTTCCCCTGATCTGCCTGCTCAGCTCCCTCCTGCACCCCAGAGTGATGCTGGGAGCCGGAATATGACGCTAATACGTCCCTGCACATACGTAATTAATTATGCAAATTAGTAAGGCCGGTATTTTTTTCCAAGAAAGGTGGCAACCCTAACTATCCTTCACATACTCTTGCTTAAGTATGAAAACTTTAGAGGGATGTATGGGAACAAAACGTGTGTGGACTGGCTGACAATGAAGTTAGTTAAGGTAAAGCTGACTTTGTGCACAATGCAAATGATCTAGTTGCTTCAGTCTCTCTAACATTGTGACATGTTCCTTTTCTTCTACACGCACTACATACAGCTTTTCTCTGTCCCAGACTGTATACCAGGAGCTTCTGCCTGCTAGTAAGGAGGTTAGGAGAGGAATGGACCACCGAGTGCTAGGGAACAGCCCTTAGAAAGCGTGGAGCGAACTCATCGTTAGACGCATTTATGCCAAGCTCAGGGTGCTGTCTGCATATTTTACCCTTAGTTGGCCAGCCTGCATGATTGGCAGGCAGCCTGACATGCATTCATGCCAGGCTGGCCTTCCAATTCTTTAGGCAGACACGCCCCCTTTTTAAGGCATGTTCGCCTCTTTCGGCAGTTCTTATTACATGATTTGCATCAGTGGCCCACCCTTTTTCCCCGTCCTGCTTCACCGGACACTGCTGTTAGGGGTTTGGATTTACTTGAAAGATGAAAGCATAAATTAGAGATAGATTAGCATAGAGTATGTGTTTTCTCATAGCTGCACCTTGTGAGTTCACCCTATGAGTTTCCCTTCAGCACTACTTCCGCCAGATACATGACAATTGGTAGGTATGACTGTTTTAGTGTTTTTGGTCGATAAGATTCTGTAATTAGGCCCATCATAATTGTCAGCAACAGGCCCACTGGGCTCTTAATCTGGCCCTGACAGTACCCCAATAGTTTTTCCTCTTTCCACCATTGCTAAGGAATAAATCTTCCAGGTGTGCCCCCAATTGCCCCCCTTTTTTTTCTAGATTAGCTAATTGCACGTATGGTATATAATTGTAGGTTCATTCTATTAGGGTGTAATCGAGATCAGGAAGGAGGTTCAGCGCTTACAGGAAAACAGAGAATATGACAACAAGGCAGCACACCCAGAGAAAAGGGGAATCCCCTCTAAGCCCCTTAGAGTACAATGGAGAGAAAAGAAGAAATAAGGGTGCGCCTAAGACAAGTAGAATAATAATATTAAAAATATTGAGAATTACTAGAGAGTACGAGCAGCGATACCTAATAGTCCGAATATAAATAATCCACATATGGAGGTGGTAGTCCTAGTGGTACATAAAATGGTATGTAAAGTCCCAGATGTATATCCGCAACTTCGAAGTGGATATGTGGAGAAAACAAAAGACAAGGGAAACTCCAATGGTATAGTATAAACGGTAAATAATATTGTGTATATAATAGTAGAACTACTCACAATATTCAGAGCTTAAATCCAGCTCTGGTATAAATGGCACGGAGTGGAATAATCCCCACTCAAGGATATACGGTGCTCCTCTTTTGTTCTTTAGTAGAGTACTTTGATGGAGTAGTCCAGCTCGGGATAAAAGGCTAAAATATATAGTGCTCACTGTATAGTTGATAAAATGTAGAAACAGAATAAAATATACTCACGGTATATAGAGCAGACGTACTGCTCGGTGGATGGCGTATGGGTGGTATAATCCCCACCTTGGGATTCTTAGTACTCCAATATGGACAAAAAGGCAGTAGTAGTCAGGTCTGAATAAAATAAAATCGCGCACGAACTCGGCAGTGGTGAAATGCCGAGTTCGTGCGCGATTTTATTTTATTCAGAGCTGCCCACCTGCATACTAGCAAACACAACTCTGAGTGTAACACAAAAAGATTACACAAAAAAAAAGTAACTGTTAAATAGTAAACAGGAATGTTTCTGAGAATGGCCACTAGATGTCACTAGAGCCATTAGTGAGGATATGATTTTATTCTCACCACAAGCGTTTTGGCACATAGCAATGTATTGAGACATCAACTTCCAGACCGGCATTCCATGCAGATGAGACACACAAGGTCAAAACTGTACAATCCATGGCTGGTTTTTGGTCACTGGACCATATGGATTATAACCCATGCTATGGTTTAAAAAATAAATAAATAAATAATAATAAAAAAGCTGTATCCATTGCTAATGGTACCCACAGAAATACAGTATAAAGTCTAAAATACAATGCCGCCTGTGCTCATTTTCATGTCAGGCTAGGAACTCTGGGATATTTATGCCCAAGGGGCAACTTGAGATAATTAGGCGATGGCCAACAAATAAATAAATAAATAAATAAATATATATATATATATATATACACTGCTCAGAAAAATAAAGGGAACACTTAAACAACACAATGTAAGTCCAAGTCAATCACAGTTCTGTGAAATCAAACTGTCCACTTAGGAAGCAACACTTAGTGACAATCAATTTCACATGCTGTTGTGCAAATGGGATAGACAACAGGTGGAAATTATAGGCAATTAGTAAGACACCCCCAATAAAGGAGTGGTTCTGCAGGTGGTGACCGCAGACTACTTCTCAGTTCCTATGCTTCCTGGCTGATGTTTTGGTCACTTTTGAGTGCTGGCGGTGCTTTCACTATAGTGGTAGAATGAGACGGAGTCTACAACCCACACAAGTGGCTCAGGTAGTGCAGCTCATCCAGGATGCCACATCAATGCGAGCTGTGGCAAGAGGGCAACAACCCAGCAGGAGGACCGTTACCTCCGCCTTTGTGCAAGGAGGAACAGGAGGAGCACTGCCAGAGCCCTGCAAAATGACCTCCAGCAGGCCACAAATGTGCATGTGTCTGCTCAAACAGTCAGAAAGACTCCATGAGGGTAGTATGAGGGCCCGACGTCCACAGGTGGGGGTTGTGCTTACAACCCAACACCGTGCAGGATGTTTGGCATTTGCCAGAGAACATCAAGATTGGCAAATTCGACACTGGCGTCCTGTGCTCTTCACAGATGAAAGCAGGTTCACACTGAGCACATGTGACAGATGACAGAGTCTGGAGACGCCATGGAGAAAATTCTGCTGCCTGCAACATCCTCCAGCATGATCGGTTTGGCAGTGGGTCAGTAATGGTGTGGGGTGGCATTTCTTTGTGGGGCTGCACAGCCCTCCATGTGCTCGCCAGAGGTAGCCTGACTGCCATTAGGTACCGAGATGAGATCTTCAGACCCCTTGTAGACCATATGCTGGTACGGTTGGCCCTGAGTACCTCCATATGCAAGACAATGCTAGACCTCATGTGGCTGGAGTGTGTCAGCAGTTCCTGCAAGACGTAAGCATTTATGCTATGGACTGGCCCGCCCGTTCCCCAGACCTGAATCCAATTGAGCACATCTGGGACATCATGTCTCGCTCCATCCACCAACGTAACGTTGCACCACAGACTGTCCAGGAGTTGGCAGATGCTTTAGTCCAGGTCTGGGTGGAGATCCGTCAGGAGACCATCCACCACCTCATCAGGAGCATGCACAGGCGTTGTAGGGAGGTCATACAGGCACGTGTAGGCCACACACACTACTGAGCCTCATTTTGACTTGTTTTAAGGACATTACATCAAAGTTGGATCAGCCTGTAGTGTGTTTTTCCACTTTAATTTAGAGTGTGACTCCAAATCCAGACCTCCATGGGTTGAAAAAATTGATTTCCATTTTTTATTTTTTGTGTGATTTTATTGTCAGCACATTCAACTATGTAAAGAACAAAGTATTTCAGAAGAATATTTAATTAATTCAGATCTAGGATGTGTTATTTTTGTGATCCCTTTATTTTTTTGAGCTGTGTGTGTGTGTGTTCAAAGCATTATAATCACAACTCATTGGCGCTGCTTCTAGTTCTTGGAACCTATTACTGCTACCCAAGGTTGGCATATAATTCAGATTGAAATTTCTACATTATGAGAGCCCGGCAGGTAAGAGGCCAGGCTTTTGGTAACAGAGAGAATTTCATTCCTTTGGGTGATTAGTTGTAAATATAACCCGGATTATACATTCACGTTGACTACCACTGCAAATTAAAATTCATCCAGTTAGGCAGAGAAAACAACTGAATTATTACATTGTATACACTATTGATTCTAGCTTCCTAAAGACTTGCAAAAATGTATTTTGAGACATTTCAACTGATCTGTCAGGAAATGTCAATGCCATCATATCATACCGCTCCAGTGTCCCTGTTTAGGAGGGACAGTCCCTATTTAGGTGGGTCAGTCTCTGTTTAGGTCCTAACCCCTCTATCCCTATTTTCTATGCTAATGTCCATATTTTCCATGATTTCCATATTGTTGGTGTGTATCAGTGTATAACAGAGCTCCACGGCAAAAATACACCCAGTAATGTGTCTTTAAACTACAATAAATGTGTTTAGAAAGCAGTCTGTGTAAATAATATACATTGTTCTTCTTCTAAATTACATTTTAGCTGCATAAATTATTATTAGTAAATCATCTAAAATTTCTAAGAACAGCCCCGTCCTTGGCCACATCTCCACTGACACCCCTAAAATTCAAGTGTCCTTCTTTGTCCATTTGAAATGTTGGGAGGTATGTAATAGTCCATTTAATATTTATTTTTGTATTTTAGGAGAAAGCTGCAGAGTTATGTTTCATCTTATTGTATTTGTAACCAGAGGGAACAAGGAATCTAACAGGATGAGAAAATCAAGGAAAATACTGAGAATGCGGAACACTTGCTGTCACAAACATGAGTAGACACAGAGACATCCAAGATGTCAGGGTAGTTTGTGCTCTAATATCATAACCAACTTTCTCAGACCTGCGTGACATAATTACATAGTTAAATAGCTGAAAAGAGACTTGCGTCCATCAAGTTCAGCCTACCTCACATTTGAAGTGTGTGACGAACACCTTTTTATTGTCCATTAGTTCCTGCAACGACCCAGGCTGAGCACATTAAATCTACCTCTTCCTGCTACTGCAATGAAGGCAATGACACTTTATGGCACTTATTCAATTTGAGGAACGTCACCTGCGCACTTTATGAGCTTGTTCTGATCTGATACGTCCTGCTAACTACTCTTACTTGAAGATATCAGAAGTCTATAAGTGTGTTTTTTTTTTTTTAAATATAGTTTTTATTTATTGACTGTATACTCATATATTGTGGCGAGAAATTGAGACTCGCAGGTCTCGCATATAATCTAGGTGGTAAGATACTAACTTTAAATGCAAGAGGTTTAGACACGCAGGTCTGGTAACATATTAGAAAAGAAGAGACGCGCAGGTCCCGCAATGTACATCTTATAACCATACTATCAGAGATTATCAAGTGGCCATATGAGTTGTTTATTGTCTCCATGAGTGTAGATTTATGCATTCATTGGTGTTGGTTTTTTAATATACTAGTTTTTTATGTATTTAAGCTTTTTATATATGTTAAAACGTACAATGAAGTAAAATGAAATTATGAGCATTAATTAATAAGATTATTTTGCTTGTTTTTAATACTCAGAGCGCGCTGGAGACTGTGGCATATAGACTGCTAAATGGGAGCTGTCATTCCCTAAGATTACAGTATTACATTTT